AATAACTTAAGATGTAATTGTAAATACAAGTGCCTAGATCTTTTTTAATTAAAAGCAAATACTTTTAAAATTCAGTTTGTAAGAATTTATCCATATTTGGATTAATTAAATGATTTCCTTGACTTGATAATATAAATATTTGTACAAAGCCACTAAAAAGTTAGTTAATTTTGTATGTAGGTTATTTACGGACGTAAAATTAAAATTCACTGATACTACATCCTATACCTTTAAACGAGCAATTCTTGTATATATATATAATCGGAATCTCGGAAACGGTTCTAACGATTTTCATAAAATTTAGTGTCCAGGGAGTTTCGGGGGCAATAAATCGATCTAGCTACGATTTATTTTTAGAAAATGTCTTTTTTTCCGTGTTTACGGGCAATGAAAAACTGCTATAAGAAAAGAAGGTAAATTTTGACACTAAGTTAACGATTATAATAGCTCAATTGGCTATCGAGCGGTTGCATAATCATAATGCCTTCATAATGCGTTCGATTTTTTTTCCCTTCTTTTGTGAGGAAATCTATTATTTCGAGCCCTTTTTAGGGTTCCGTAGTCAAATAGGAACCCTTATATATTTCGCCATGTCTGTCTGTCCGTCTGTCCGTCCTCGATTAATCTTTGTGACCGTTAGCACTAGAAAGCTGAAATTTGGTACCAATATACACATATTGATTGAATAGGGGATCAATCACGCCAACAAAGTGGTAAAATAAAAATTGGAAAAAAATGTTTTATTAGGGTAGCCCCCCTATATGTAAAGTAGGAAGTTTTTTTTTTTTTTAATTTCAACCCTAACGTGTGATATATTGTTGGAAAGGTATTTAAAAATGAATAGGGGTTTACTAAAATCATTTTTTGATAATGTCAATAATTTCGGAAATAATCGCTCCAAATTAAAAAACAATGTGTCCCCCCCTCTAACTTTTGAACCATAAGTTTAGAAAAAATGAAAAAAAATCTGAAAAGTAGAACTTTATAAAGACTTTCTAGGAAAATCATTTTGAACTTGGATGGAAACACCCACCCACTACCGGGAGCAGTTGCAGGAGCGCGGAGCGCTGCTGGAGCGCGAACATAATGGATACCCACCTTTAAACTCATAAGTGGGAACACTTATTGTGACGGACGGAAAACTACGGAACCCTACACTGAGCGTGGCCCGACACGCTCTTGGACGGTTTTTTTTTTTTGTATTTTTTGAAAATACGAAAATTTTAATTAAACTAATAGCACTCACGATTTCTTATTCAAATAAGCAGTTTAGTTTTTTCTATTATGTCAATAAGATCAAAAAATATTATTCATCAGTATGTAATTTGAATCTAAATGTAATTTTAAAAAAACCGAGCAAAGCTCGGTCATCCGGGTACTTAGTTATAACACAAGAAATTACAAACCAAACTGTGAGCAATGCACTCTAAATTTATTTTCGTACCGTCTTCATTAATTGTAAATTAGACTTATTATATGTATATACGGAAATGGCTCGTTATGCACGTCGTAGTCCTCATTGACCGCCATGAACTATACCCTCGACGCGCCAACAGTCAGATGTAAATTTCTAAAACGTTTTGTCTGAAAGTACGCGTTTGTGTATTCTAAGCCACCACGAACTCTACACAAACAATATATGTTAACATATTCTATTGTAGACTCTTTATTTTGTGTTAAAATTTATTATAGCGTCTGTATAAAAAAGTATTTAATTTTGTATTTAAGAATAATGTAAAACAATTATATACAAATCAAATTATTTTTTTTTAATTTATCATTTTTCTTCGTCAGCCCTTAAATATTCCACTGCTTAACACAGCCCTCCCTTTTTTGCCGACTTCAGATAGAGTTAAAGTTACAACCTGTCTAAGTCCCACGGCTGGACACAGGCATCATTTCTGGGAGAGTTTTAAGACAAGAAACTGTCCGCCGCGAACTTCACATGTCTTCGAAATATTTTTTATTTTTATTTATTATATTTTCCTTTATATTACGTCTAAGAAGACATGCAGGTTTCCTCACGTTGTTTTCTTTCACCGCCGAGCGCGTGGTAAATCAGTACTTAAAATTGCAATTAACAATTTAATTGGTGCCTGAGGGGATCGAATCCGGTTTGCTTGCATACTGTGAAATTGTGATGTGAGCTACCAGGGCCCAAAAAGAAAGAGAAGGAGGTTGTTAATTCGACTCCATGTTCTTTTGAACGTTTATTACGTGATATCTTCTTCAACAGTGTATCTGTCGCAAGCACCTAGCTTAATTAGCCTTTCAGTTAACAGCCTAGCCTTTTTATTAAACGGCGTCGTTCAACTGGCTATCTGAATGATATTCAGCCTATGCGTCTAATACAACATTGCACCTATCTTGTAACATCAGCGACAGTAGGTTAATGCGCGGATGGGTGACCCTTTGGCCACCCTAAAGCCGCATACATTAATATAATATATATGCATAATTAGGTACAGACTAGTGACATTACCTCCCTAACTCGACAGTAAGCAAGCAAGGAGGTAGTAAATATAATGACTCCCTTACCTGATGGCACGTCAAATGATTAAGATAACCCATGGCTACCTGATATATATAAAATACGCGTCGAATACTGAACATTCTCGTTTTTGTAACGTGGTTAAGAGATATATAAACACAATAAAATCGGCATGTAGTGGCGGCGTAAGAGAAACTAGGTACTACCTACCCCATGTTATCCTGTGGGCGTCGTATGAGGCAGTAGCGGGAAACTGAAATGGGATATCGGTACAAATAATAACATACTGTAGTTGCCAATCCGTCTGCGAAGGTTACTGTCATTAAAATGAATATTTTATAATCATTCCTACATGTAAATAAAACAATAAAATTTAAATTATTTAAAATATAATTATATTTGTATAAATAATAAACTTTTAAATAAATAAATATAATGAAGATAATTTATTAGTAAATAAAATACTTATTTATTTTATATGAAACTAGCTGGCCATCGGAGTGAAGGGATTAAATTAAAAAAAAAACATTATCGTAATAAATCATCACATAAATAAAACAATGAAATTAAATTTAAGTATAATGTATTTAATTCGTAAAAATAATAAATAACAATTCAAGAGTGAATTTCACTTTGAGGGGATTAAATAAATAAAAGCATCCGCTCCAAATTATCAGTACGTCCACTCCGCAAATTTTCTATAAAATTTATTAATAATTTGACCACATCCATCGGGTCCACATTTCGTGAACTAAACCAACATTCATTGTCAATTTTGGTATTTTTGTCTTTGAAAAATAAAGAATTTCTTAATAACTGTCCCATATTGGTCTGGGAATTATGATGCGTATAAACATATAAATATACGAGTATATAACATGTGACATAACATATGTGTCATAAAAGGCTACTAAATGGGATTTTGGTTTTCTGATGGTGTAGGCGATGGGCTGACCACTATTTTTCCATCGAAACTCATATTTTTTGGTTAGCGTAGTTCGAGTATCTCGCAACTCTTTGTTCTCGCCAACCCCCTCGGCGATTACAGGAGTAATGTTATTTTTTTTTTCAAATTTTCAACATAACTTGAAAACTGTACGCTAACTATCTGATCCTATCATAGACATGACCATCTTCTCAACAAAACACATATTAGTTCAGGAGTTACGTATAACTAACAGAAGCACAAACTATTATATGAACATAGGTATAAACTTTCTTTATCTCTTCATTTTTTGACAATCAAAGGAGACTGGTATAGAGATAATTAATATCTAATTTAAGTAAACGATTATAAATAAGGCTGATTATGTTTTAAGTTCCTACTTAGCTTCTATATTAAACAAAAGAAAATATTTTCATATCTCAGATCATATAAACAACAGGAGATATGCCCGGTAGTTAAAATGTATCGGAACCCGGTGTCTCCAGTTTGCCCCTGCCACTCGCCAACTACTACACATGCAGTTCATTAAATTGATAGATACGCAGTAGCGCACACACACGCATTCACATCTCTAACTCACAAAAGCCGGCAGCTTCTGCTTCACGAAACTATCGTGTGAGTGAGAGTATCAGTAAAACACTTATCCATTGCGCTATTAGACCAGCTGATTCACAGGTCGATTTGTACTAAGCAAGCAATGGTTTTTGTTCCTAATGAAAACATTTGATTTGGTTTTTCATCGTGTTTCTAGTACCACGAAGTAATGTTTTAATAAATTGAATAAGAAAAACATTAATATTTTAGTACTTACGTGTGAAATGAGATGCCATCTTTCATGTAATTCACAATACAGCTGTTATTTTTGCAAACAATCACTGAACAACGCGGCATTTTGTCAAAAATCACGAGCAGTGAAGACGTCACAAGTTGACATTCGACTAATTACCGAAACTGGCATCAGGCCGCTTTGCGGCCAGATGCGTTCGCAAGTGCCACGCCTCCTTGCCATATCTCCTGTTGTTTATATGATCTGAGTTTCATATACTATGCCTGCATTACAACTATGTTCACAAACAAGTTAATGAATTCTTAATCTCCGAAGTGCTAGTTCACATAACCTGCTTAATACCGTCCACTTTAGTGTGTCTGCATCAGACTTCAAAATTATTATCATTCCAAACGATAAACAATAAATCTCCTGAACTTGTTCCTATAAGTACGCAATACCAGATTGTTATCAGAAATCTATATATTTCGTTTTCTTTATTGAGCACTGAGTTATGATGTTTATATATATTATATATATGTGTTATATATGTTATAAATTATTTGAGTAAAAGTTTTCTAAATCGTATAAACTGTTCATTTGTCAATGCTCCGTTTCTTTTCAGTTTGAGGAGGTTATCCAATATTCTTCTATTTCGTTTAGGTTTTGATAAAACTGAACTTTTTCCTAATATCGGAACTTTAAGAGGATTGAGCGATCTTTTCAATTTATTTAAAGACAACGGAAGTAAAGGCGGAGGTATCAGAGGTAGTGGAAGTATAGGTAACTTGGGAATAATGGGCGGTAATAATAAAGGTGGCAGTAGAGGCAGCCCCGGTAACAGTAAAGATCTTCGTCTCCTTTGTGGTCTTGCTGAAATTGATTTTCTACTTCTTAGCAATGCGGTATTTGACCATTTAGAAATATCTGTAGAAGGACATATGGTATTTCTAGCCCCTGCATCGAGTTTTAAATTAAAAGGTAATCGACGCATGCAACTTTTTACCACTTTTGAATCATAATGAATGCCACGTGCCAATCCCATCTGTAAAAAAATTAAACAAATATTTATCTTCTAAAGCTTTATGACTTCATACCACCCAACCTTTTTGAGGTAAGACAGGGTATATCAGTTGAAAAACCATTCATGTAAATATTTTACTGCCTTCACACCACGCGCTGATCCGCGAGTGTGAGTCCGGTGAGTAAAAGACTGTATCCAGTCTGTGAAACTTGGTTGGATATATTTTGCGTCAACTGTTTCTAGAACCTATTTCGTTAATAAACAGAGCGTACAAATGAGGGTATCTTTTTATTCAATTAATGCAAAAACATACAGTCCATCTCATGGTTAATGCCTATCGCAACCCTACACAAAAAAGTAGGCAACAGTTGTGTTGTCACTTTAGAGAACTAAGATAGAATTTGTAACCAACCAGAACAAGGAAGTGCACGTTATGACGCTCGGTGGAACAAATAGGTAAGATCTACCTTAACCACCTAACCAAACGAATACTTAGGCAGATAATAATTAACACTAAAATTAAACGTTACACATTAGCCGTGGTAGCTCAGATGGTTAACGCTCGCCGTAAATATAACAGAACGCGAGCAACCCGGGTTGGATCCCCGCCGGCACCAATGAAATTGTTAATTGCAATTTTAAGTGATGATTTACCACGTGCTCGACGGTGAAGGAAAACATCGTGAGGAAACCTGCATGAACCTGAAGTTCGCCAACACGCATTTGGGCAGTGCGGCGGACACTTCCTTGCCCTAAAACCCTCTCAGAAATGAGGGGAGGCCTGTGCCCATTAGTGGGACGTATATAGGCTGTAACTTTACTTTAATTTACTATTACACATTGAATAAAACTGTATATACGGGTTCTATTGTGTTTAATTTACTTATTAGTCATAAAACTAAAAAATGTAATCTTATAATGATCGAGCTTTCGAGCGCACTTAATGGAAACCACAGGGTTTTTGTTATATATTGCATACGAAATATTCGTTCATCAACGGCTCCTTAGAATAAGAAGTAGTATATATTTATTAAAATAATATGAAAACACTTACAGATATTAATGAACATATAGCGATATACTTTAACATCGTCACGGTTAAAACAACCACTACAGATTTAAACCCAAAAATCAACAATGATACACTTTATATGCAGCAGTTTTACGAAATAACAATTGAAGCCTTATCATCAACACGTATCTGATTCAACACGTTCTCAATAAACAATTGCATAAACCATTTTTTGATAAAACCGCATTGTGATTTGCCAAAGCAAGATATAACATAATATACGTAATTTTATTAGTTACTATCGATCCGATCGATTTAGGATCTCGACAATGTATGCATGTAATAAACCTTCCTCTTGAATCCTTCTGACTATTGATGAAAACAGCATCAAAATTCGTTGCGTGATTTAAAAAAGATAAGTGTGCAGATGGCGGGAAGCGACTTTGTTTTACACTATGTAGATTGTAGAGAGTAGAAATTTTAATTTTTGATTGATATCTCGCTTTCTCCATTTTTATGAACCAGAAGCTGTCAAAGAAAATAAAATTATAACTTAATTAAAAAGCAGACAAGCAAAATCTTTGCATTGAAACGTTAATTGCTGTTTTAAACATTTTTGTTGCAGTATTAACATCTTAGACGTTTATTTACTTTTATACATTCTGGGTGACAAAAGCGCACATAGTCCACCTAATGGTAAGTGGATTCTAGTGCACATAGACACCTACAGCTGTCAGTGCAGTGCCCATAGTTACCGGCAAAAAGGCTCTGTTTGTTCTTGTCACACACAACAACAGTACCAAGCTGCTATTTGACGTTGATTTTTGCGAATGTGAAGTCACTCTACGGTCAAATCGATCTTTCTATGAAATTTTATTACTGCAACAAAGTTCTATCCACGCTGTTGTCGTTTATTACGGCTGCAGTTAGCTGAAATAGGGACCTAATTTGACTTTGAAAAAATTGTCTGGTATTTTTTTCTTGTCTCGTGTTATTCTTTTTTCTTTGGGATGTTAAGTAATTTTTTCTTACTTTATTTATTTCTTTCTTTCTATCACTTAAAAAACGGGAAGAAAGTGTGAAGGCGTATACATTTCGATCCGAAACTTAACAAGAATCGCTTGGATTTAAAAGGCTTTTGAGATTTGATTAAGCAAGCAAATACGCTGACCACGAGATAGTCACGGTTATGAATCAACCTTCATTAGGTAATATTGTAAATTAAATTTTTTGTCATTCGTACAAAAGATAATGAAATGCACGTTACAAGATAAAGATATCGATTAAATTAATTCATTTTGTTCTATCAACACGTTCATCTGGGCTTAGAAAATTGTCTAACATTTCTCCACAGTTTATCGAGTAACTTATCAGATGAATTTATGAAATAACACAAACGGCTACATAAATACGTATCTTCTAATTTATTATACATAATCACTTACACATTGGCTTTGAAAGGAGCGAACATGGGGGGTCCAAAGGTTTTTTGGTCCTCCATGAGCGTTCTCTTGGTCACAACGGTATATGTAAAAGCTTGCGATGATAAAGGTCTTTGTTTGGTACGTGTGCTATTGGAATTATTAATATCTAGTAATCCTACATTTTTAGGAAACACGTTAGAAATAGTAATATAAAGTAATATTTAAAAAGGTTAGTTAATCAGCTTCTTTTGTTTTATTCGCAGTTGGAGGCGCTAAAGGAAATGAAGGAGTGTAAGAAAGCGGCACTTGCCTCGTAAGTATAATACAAACATGTCTGTAACTCATGGGTGTAAGCACAGCCAACGGAATTCACAGCCACGATTCTGACACACCTGTTTCAGTCCTTTCAAATCGATCTACCTACACATACGTGCTCGTCGGTTAAGGGTACTCTTTTTTGGCCCATATCAATAAATCGCTCAACAATAAACGTCCGTCTAGAGTGTCCCTTGAGGACTCTGTCACTTACTAATACAGCACAAATTTACTTTGTCACTCTTTGCTCCCTTTTCTACATGTCCACACCACCGGAGCATTCCTTTCTTAATTCTGGTGACAACATCTTGTAGACCACATATTCACAAAAACTCAATGTGGAATTAAAGACTAATAAGTAATATGTTTCTCTTTTATTGCAGATTATTAAAACCTCTTCTTGCTGCTAAATTAGGTAAGAGTTGAAAATATTTTTATAATTCATTAAAACTTATTAGAATTGCAACATAACATTTATTCACAAATTCCCTTTCAGAGAAGAAGGAATTATCACCATGTTGCGGGAAACCACCGCCGCCTCCGCCTACTCTTGTATTAATGCCAGCAGCTCCACCGCCAAGTTGTCTACCACCAGCGCCGCCACCGCTGTGTCTTCCACCTCTACCACCACAATTACCACCCATTATATTATCAGCACCACCACCTGCCCCTCTATGTTTGCCACCACAGCCACCTCTTTTACTACCCGCCCCCCCACCAGCGCCATATTTTCTCCCAGCACCACCTCCAGCACCACTGTTCTTGCCTGCGCCTGCTCCAGCACCGCTATGCTTACCGGCACCGGCACCCGCCCCAATATTCTTACCCGCCCCTCCACCTGCACCCATGTACTGCGCCCCACCACCACTGCCACCAGCGCCAGCCCCGTTAATCATATCTTTGGTTCCACCCGCGCCACCTCCTTGCTGTGCCCCACCACCTCCCGGCCTTCCAATGACCGCATTCATGGTTCCGCCTCCAGTACCCGTAACGTTAGAACCAAAACCCATAGAGCTGCCAACTTGTGGTTGTAAGTACTGCTTATAGATGTATCAAAAAAGTCGCTTGTCAGCGTCTGTCTGCGTATTCGTTTAAACTTTAAAACTACTAGGTAGATTTTAACGAGGATATCCAGGTGGTGCTTTGCTGGTGGTGGTGACAAACATACTTTTCTACACTAGAGCAAGTTTTTTTTTACCATGCAATCTTTATCTACCATTGTCGAATTCCTATGTTATATTTAATTTCTATAAAAATGAGTTGTTTTAAAGAATAAGAACATTTTAAAATTACAAAAATTGATATTATGTTATAACACCATTATAGACATTTAGAAAAAATATTTACCAAACATATAAAAATTTAAAAAATTACGACATTCGTAGACAAAAACATGTTTAATATTGTTTAAAAAAAGGTTAAAATCGGTTCAATTATAGAAATCACCATTTTTTCTTGTATAAGTATAATCAGGCTAAGCTACAGTTGTTTTTCTTTGTTGCCCAGCTCGATCATTCGGACACAATGCGACTGCATTTATTACTTAAATACCTATTTTTCAAATTTCTTACAACCTAGATATACTCGTAAAGTATTCTATTAATAGGGAAAGTAGAGAATAATGTTTCGCACTTCTTCTGCGAAACCGGGACTCTGGTTATTAATACATTTTTAACTTTTTAAGTTTTAAATTGTGTATTTAACAATAGAGTAAGTTAAATATTTATTGATGATATTGTGTAAGTGGTAATAAAATGTATTAAAATGTATTATGAATTTAATTGCGTTGAAATTTCAAATAAAAAATAACTATCCATTCATTCCAAATACCCCCCCGCTTGGCATAGGTCTCCTTTCATTTCTGACAGAGTTATGAAGTTATAAGTTCGATACCCTTCAACAGTATGTGTTGACGGACTTGACATTTCCTCATAATATTTAAATTTCTATGGCATGCAGGTTTCCTCACAACACACTTTCGAACCGTGGTAAATTAGCCCTTCAACATTCAATTAAAATTTACTTCGAAGTTGACGTTGGCGGGGATTGAACCCGGGTTGCCTGCGCACTGTGAAATTTACGGCGAACGCTCAACCACTAAACCACCACGGCCTGAAGATTTCAGTAACAATAATTTATTACCAAATTGTTACTGGCAACCCCAACGATTTTACCAGTCTACTATTTCATAGCGGCAAACCTGTAATTTAATGTGTAATGTAAAAGCTTCTTGAAACGTTGCAGTAATTTTCATAACGTGAAAACACTATTGCAAATTATTGTGTTAATATATCCATAGTCATTCCTTATCACAAAGTTTAAGTACTAAAACGTCTAACTACGAGAAAATTCTATTACAATAATTGTAATTAGAAAAGTATTTTGATGCCACTAAATATTGAAAATCAATTTTATATATAAACGTAAAGTTTCGTATAGAAGTGAGAACCTTGTTATACTATCCGAAAACTGCAAGTATAGAAAATGATTGCGTTAATTATTCCAGCTATAGTTGATTTATTTAAACACAAGTTAGTTGGTGGTATTATAATATTGACATGTTGGTCTGCTTTTGGTAAGCATTCATTTATTACATGAAAATGCCTCAATTTTTTTGCACTTGAACCTGAAACTAATATAACAGCCTAAATACCCGCTGCCAGTCCTCCTGTTACTTCTGAGAGGGTATTTCTAGCAGAAAAACCGTATTTTTGGTGTGCACATGTCCACGAAATACTCTAATTATGAATGTATTTCTAAGTAATGCAACGTGGTCCCTCACTATACCTTTCTTCATCGCCGAGCTTAATTGGTCGGCACTAATCTAGGAACAATTTAATTTACTCCCAACTAAGAAATTTTAAGACGTGTACTTAGTCTTTTCGAGCTCTACGTCTCGTATCATAATAATAACCATTTATTTCTCACAAAGGTATTTAGATCACAGTATAAATGATCAAATGTAAACATTCCTTCGAGATCACCATCACCAGGACCTCGTCCAACGGATAATTACATCGGGCATACTGAAAGTTCTGGGCTCCTGGCGGCTATAAATGTTTAAATTTCGAATGTTTTTTTTAAATAAGATACTTATATATTGAATAAAACTAAATCCAAAAGCCAACTACTTGGGCGGATACCGCCCGGAATTCGAACCTAATACTTGCGATGTAGTAGCCACTTATTCTGTCTATAAAAAGTGAATTGAATAAGGCCTCGCTTCTTCAATTCATTTTTTTTAGCAGCCTCTATAATTTCACTACTGGATATAGCATGGGCAGCAACTAAAGGCAAGAAACTCTAAAAATTAAAAGATTATCTTGATCACTACGTTTGACAGGCACGTTAGTGCTGCTACATTCGCTCTGGTAATAGAAGTTTATGGCATTTGAGTTTGTCGTTTTTAAAGAGTATATTGTCATTTGTTAGTCGTAAGAACCACATTTCTCTTATTTGTTATCCAAATGCACATGACACATGCAGAAAAGAAAAACATAAACATTTAAGAAAGTGGTCAATTGGGCAAAAATTAAATATTCATACTTGCGTTTACTTTTTAGATCGTATGAAACTTGCGAAACAGATTTCATCTTTCGGTATGTCAGTAACATTTTCATGTAACACTACAATGTTAGATGATATAAGTTTAAACCGTTTATATGGAGTGTTATATATACAATCGCCACAGGACTCTATGAGAAAGGTAATTTTTAATACCTCACTTTTTTATACACTACCACACTAAAATATTACCGTTTATCGTAGAGGCAGTTTACTTACATAAGTTGTACAAGGACAAACATCCAGACCCGCAAAAGGCCCTACAAATACTCGTTAGGTATATGATTCGAATTCGTGCCCGTCAGCACCTTCAGCACCGGCGCTACTGTACCACGACGTCACACATAATACATTATTAATATAATTTACTAAATTGGCTGATATACCTTTACTATTACAGCGTTTCAAAAAACCACTGCAGCACATAGGCTTCCTCTTATAAATTGCCTCATATATTTGCCATATTTGCCACTATTTGCCATAGTTGCCACACTTGGCAAGCGGGTTGGCAACCACAGTTTGTTTGTCTTAAACATCGCACGAGTGTGAAGGATGAAAGTTTTTTAAGCATGTTAGGGTGACAAACGAACACACAATCCTCCTGATGGTAAGTGAACACTGTGACCCATAGACACCAATCCTCGATTAAGGTTATAAGTTTTAGTACGTGGTAGAGTCATGCTGCAGTTATATTAGAAGTATAGTTGTAGCACGAATGGGTCGGCTCGACCGGGGAAGGACCACGCTCTCACAGAATACCAGCGTAAAATAGTAGGTTTATGCTGCTGTGTTTCGTATGGTGAGTGTAGATAACCGGAGACCCTTTTTACTGGAAACAAGGCATTCCATCTTAGACCTTATGGGTGACAACGCATCTGCATTTTGATTCGTAATCAAAGATAGATGAAGATGTCTGTAGGCCACAGCAACCAATTGCCATCAGGTGGACTGTGTGCTCGTTTGTCACCCTATCCTATAAAAAAGTACAGGTGAATTGTCACCCCATGACGACTAAGTAGGAACGATTCCAGTTAAGAAAGAACACATAACAAAAACAGAGCATTGCTTCTCTTATGATGATGTTTTTTATTGTGAGCATTGTTCTTGCCTGATCGAGTTGACCAATTCATGCTATAATACAGATGCACTGTGGTTCTACCACTTTACAAAGTAAGGTAAAATTACAGCCTGTACTCATTTCACAGCTGGGTATGGACCTCCTCATATTTCTTAGATGATAATCCGATGTATAAGATATATAAGTCCTCTATGCTGCTCCAGAGCGTGTTGGCGGACTTCACATTCCGTTAAATTGATTTATTCATTATATATCATCATATTTCCTCGCAACATTTTCCTCCATTATCAAGCATTTGACAAATTAGCACTTACAATTACGATTAACAATTTTTCTGATGCCAGCCCTTCATCTCGGGCCAGTCATTTGGGTTTCTTTTTGTTCGCTATGAGTGATCAAGCCAAGCAAACTTAGCCCCTCCGCCACGACAAAGCGAGAACCCGTTCGGGGAAGGGCTTAACCCAAAGCTACCTCGACTCGCTATTGACCTACCTGATGGGCTCATCTATTGACATTATCTGAGATCTACTGCCATAGTTTATCTCTTTCAGATTCAAACAAAACACTTCTCACAATGGTACAAGTGGCTGGTTATAAATGAAATACCAGAATTACTCAACAGAACTCGGTATGACGCAGATGTAGTTCTAATGCGTACCAAGCAAAATAAAGAAGCAATCACATTGAACGGTAATACTATTTAATATTATTTAATTCAATTCAAACACATATTAATTAATTAAAACTTATAGAAAGTCCACTGCTGAAGTTAACCCTCCTCCAAAGATTGCCTCATACGGATATTTTTCATAGTTGTCAGACTTAGCAGGAGGGTTGGCGAGGAATGACCAGCGGCCTCCTGTACTATTGCCGTCCGTCTCCTCTTACACTATCCACAGGACGATATGACGTGGTGGATTATCTTACGCTACCATAACACAATATATAAACACATTGTTGTAAAAATGTAAAGGTTTTGTTGACATTTAAATTATAGTGTTCCAATCGTCAATTCGCATACCAAACTTAATGTTATAATGTGACGGCAAGCTTCCAACACTGGGAGGGACTCATGTCCATTCATTTCCTGTTTATAAAATTTACTTCTGATCAGTGACCTCCTCTACAAATTGCCTGGTTTTGCTTGGCAGGTGAGTTTTTTTTCCTCGTTACGTTGTCATGCCATCTCTGTTCCAGTTTCCTTCTGTCGCAGCCCCATCGCGCTGGAACCCGTATTAGGAAAAACTTCATTTTTTTCATTTTCGCATAGAATATTTTTTGTAGTAATAATAATTTCGTACAAAAAATATTAAATACAGCGCAAAGCAAGAAATATAAGAAATATTTCGATAAAAAGTTTTGAAGTGGGTACTAAATTGTTTATAGTT